TCTAGGTCTAAAGATCTCTACATCTGCGAGGATTAGTTGTCCTTTCCCATCTCTCGTCATCTTGGTCCAAGCTTGCCTTCTCTCCTTCAACTCCTCAGCTAAGTTTGTGAGGGAAGTGTCTAGAGAGACTCTAACACAAGCAGTCTCTGGACAGCTTACTAAACACTTGCCAGCAACCTCTGCCATGGAGATATGTGGAGTGGGAGACTCTATCTTGTGCACACGCTCAGATCCACACTCTCCTATGGTAGGGGCAGTTGCGACCCCTACCGACGACTGTCTTCTGCTGCCCCAAAAGCAGCGCGACTCCTATACTTGGGACAAAATTTAATGATCTGGCCGGGATCCCCGTAGAATACACACTGAGACCTCTCTATACGACCCTGCCACACATTCTGCTCAATTCCCAAACCTTCCCAAGGTCGTCCCTCGGGACGACCTGGTGCCACCATCCCTGTCTGGGAGGTGACCAACTCTGACGAGGGCGGTTAGGTGGGGGACCTTGACCCCTTCCTCCCGCTTGGCGGTTTCCATTGTCGCCAAACCCCTCGCCGCCCTGTTCTCGGCCACCTGGGGCCCGGCCATTTCGGCCAGGCCCTCTTCTTTGCGGCCTCCCCTCGGCCATGACAGCAACGTAGGTTCTCCCCTGTTCTACCCTACTATCCCCTTCCTCAAGTCCCCACTCAATGTCCGAGTAGGGAATCTCCTTAGCACCACCTTCCTCCATTGTTAGAATTAGGCTATCCTTGGCCTTGACCTGACCAGATATGATGCGTCCCTTCCACATTTTTCCCTTTGTCAGATCTTTGTGCCCGAATGTGGTAACTGGCAAAGCTTGTGCAGCAAAGGAAACAGCCTCTCTATTGAGGACATCGTCCCTGGCTGTTGCCTTTTATCATAAAAAAAGTGCCCTTGCACATGCTTGGGCAGGGCGCAGTAAAACAGTTGGACCAACTGTCCGTTAGTGACTCCATGTCCCGGCACATCGATCAGCCTATCCATGGTGAACTTAAGGGCATGTACGCTCTTCCACTGACGCGTATGGATCATCTACAACTTATCGGAGGCTTTAAGTCCCGGTGTGACATCTGAAAATCGCTCCCTAAGGGACTTAAAGAACTTGGAGAGGGGGGTTATCCTTGAGTACTGCACCATATCATTCTCGCAGCGTGCTGCGCGTGCAAACAACCTTGCAAAGCTGGTCCCTTCCTCTCTCAGGGCCTGAAAGGCTACTAGGACATGATCTTTTGGTGCTACACCCTGTAGGTATAGATAGGAGTTGACATTTGCTTGCCAATTGTCAAAGTCCTTCCTTTTTCTTCTCACTGAAGGGCTCAGGGAAACTTTGACTTTCTCGCGGCGTGGGGCAAGCTCCTCTTCCTTGGAGGCTGCTAACTTGGCACCTTCTATGGCGCTTGTGCATAACTTTTTCGTCCTACTGATTGCGTGTTGCATCTTATTTACAAGATATTTCATCATGTCTTGCGCGAAATCTTTAAATCCTTCTCGTATCGCTTCCAATGCGGTATCGTGACTGCGAAGATGCTTCATTTGGTCTCTCTGTGCGGACAGTAGGGACTCTATACTGTGGGTCAGGGTATCGAGTTTCTTTCCTATCTCGGTCTCTTCTCTTATCTTCCCCATCCTTATCTTCGCCGCCTTCAACTCCCCATTGAGCTTCTCTTCTGCCTCCATACGCCTTAGTCTTTCTTGTGCCAAGCGCAGTTTCCATTCCAATTGCTTTTCTTGGTCCTTTGTTCATCTGTGCAGGGGATTTCTCTCCTCCTCCAACTCTTTCTTTGTTGCTTTCCTCTCGGCCTCGAGAACCATCATCTCCGGTTCTCTCAATTCCCCCAACTCTATATGTGACGCCCATTCCTTGGCCATCCTCTCTATCTCTTCTTGTGTAGACGATTGGTACTCGTCTCTCCTCCTCTCCTTTGCAAAGCTTCTCCTTCCTTAACCTCTTCTTCTTTTACTTCTTCTACCTCTACTTTTGGCTCTATTCCTTCCATCTTCTCCTCCTGTTCCTTCTTCCACCTTTCCATTTCTTCCTCCATATGCTTCTTCTTCGCCTCTTATTCCTCTCGCACGGCTACCATCTTCGTCTGCTTAATCAGTTCCCTCTTCTCCATCTACTTATTTTTTTCTCTTAGAAGTGCGGCCACTTTCTCTTCTTGTTCCCGACTATAGGGGGCGGCACTAACTCCGGTCCTGGTGGTCACCATGTGAAAGTGCACAATCAAAGACGTTTCCGCTCCTCAACACGTAGACCTACCAGTTTGAACTCACGTCTAAAGAACTTCCTATCCACTACTCGCGTTTGTTCTAGGTTGTCACTACAAGACTCACTGGCTGATCAGGAGGCATTTAAGGAGATCCCCCATAACTCCTCAAGATTTCTTTAACGTCGCAGACATGACGACGCGATCAGCCGAGTCCTCTCAAGACTTAGACAGCTGGACGCACAACCCACAACTCAGAGTTCGGGCCTACCACGCCACACTAGGCAGCCCGCCGGCCAGTTCCGGTCCTTGGGGGTGTCCCCAGGACGTGTCAATTGTCAGATGTGGCCTTTAGCCTTACAAAGTCCCGCGTGGGTTTGGGCTTGCAGCTCTACAACCACATCCACAGAGTCCTATCGACCTGGACAAAAGTGACAGGGAGATATGACTGACTCTGACAGACCTGACGTCGGCAAGTACCAAGGTGAGAGTGCACATCCACAGGGTAAGGGCTAGGCCAAGGCTTGGAGAGACAATACCGCTTATCTTCTTGCTCCAACTTGGTCAACACTCCGATCAACAGTCTTAATCAACACTCCGGTCAACTGTCTTGGTCAACGCTTTGGTCAGCCCCGATCAACACCGATCAACGACCTTGGTCAACCTTTAGTCAACGCCTGTCTCTTATACACATCTAGATGTGTATAAGAGACAGGGGTAAGGGCTAGGCCAAGGCTTGGAGAGACAATACCGCTTATCTTCTTGCTCCAACTTGGTCAACACTCCGATCAACAGTCTTAATCAACACTCCGGTCAACTGTCTTGGTCAACGCTTTGGTCAGCCCCGATCAACACCGATCAACGACCTTGGTCAACCTTTAGTCAACGCTGGTCAACCTCCCTGGTCAAGCCTCCGACCTCCTGGCTATGGCGGTCAACCTTCTCCTTCGTCGCCCTCTTCTTCCTCCTTCACCTTGGCTATGGCTGCTTCATCTCCTTCTTCGTCAACTTCCTTCTTCTTTCTCCTTGTGTCACTCCTTCCTCTTCTCTTGTTGGTCGTCTTCTTCTCCGAGCTCAGCAGCTATGGCTGTCGTCCACTGTGGCCTCCTCTCTCCCTCTATCTCTCTCTCGGTCTCTCTCACGCTCTATCGTACTTTGGCTATGGCGGCTTCTTCCTTCTTCAGCTTGCTGGTGTGGGCAACGGGAACCAGCTCCGATACCAGTGTAATCAGTCCGCACTCGAACTTGCTTGTAGCATGCATACACGCGAGCTGATGGCAAAACCAAACACTTTCAACTCAGAATCGACAATGAACTTGCACTTAAACTCTGTTCAAGTCAACTGTACACCTTGCGACTATGGCCGCCGAACATTGTCTCCAACCACCAGCCTCACTCTCCCTCATGCACGCATGTACGAGGATCTACCCTGAATGTCCACACTACACATACACACACCCTTTGTACACTCTGTTTGTGCCAGCAGTTGGGAGGCTATGGTCGCCATCGTCTTCCTCCTCCTAGCTATGGGCGTCGTCGTCTCCTTCCTGGCCAGCTATGGGTGTCGTCTTCCACACTGCCCACTTTCGCATGCAGACCTCCACGCACAAGTCACCAAGTCAGCGCTTCCGCATGGCTCACAGGCGAATGAATGAATGGCTGATCGTTGCCTCTTTATTTATACTCTTCCTCAGGTGGCCTGGCCCTGCCTCAAAAGGTGTGGGCCTGAGCCCCAAACCGTGTGACCCTGGGTCTGGAAACCTCCAGAACATGTTGGCATGCTCAACTAAAATGCGTGGAACCTGAGAAACCGTGTGGAACCCCCCACTTGGCTCGTACTTGCTGACTGGTCCCGAACAGACAGGCCTACGACCTTCTAGACTCTACCACCAGTACCTACAGATTGGGCTGACCCTTAGGCCTACGAAGAGACGGGAAGAGACTTCCAGAAGGGCCATAAGTAAGCCTAACGGTAACATACTAACCTACTGACACAAAAGATCTAGGGTACTGACACAGAGATCTATGGATTGAACCCTAACAGTTAACAGACAAACCTACTAACTAACCTACAGGCTTAGGGACTCACTCAGCACATAGGGTCAATGTACAGGGTTTAGGGACAGGTCTAGGGATCGAGTGTCAGTGTCTGCAAATGTCAGGTCAACTGGGTGAAACCGTTTCAATATGGAGCCAACGATCCGCAAAGTGATGAAAAGGACAATGCAGTGTCAGCAAAGCTTCAGCAAGCAATGTACATCCAGATACATATGAAAATAGCACAATATAGCACAGCAGAAGACTCAAAGATGTGACATGACCTGTCAGATACTGACACGACACCCTATCATACACCACACATGTGAGTGAGAGACGAGGGACCACATACATGGAAGAAAGGTCCCTCCTTGAGCACGCACATGGGATATACCACAGACGAGGAGATGGGGGAGAGGCGAGACAAAGATGGAGATGAGCGAGAAGACCGAGATCGCAATAGCGAAGTCCCAAAATAGTCTCCCTACCGAATGTCCAATCAATGTCTGCCACAAAAATGTCGGATCAGATCCTGGGCCTCATGGCCAGACGAAACATCTGCTTGTAACCTCTCTCTCTCTCTCTCTCTCTGAAAGAAGAAGGAAAGAAAAAAGGAGGGAGGAGAAGAGATGGAGGGCGAGAGCAAGAAGAAGAAGAAGATGTCGTCCTCCTCGCTATCTCACCTGCAGGTAACTGCCGCCATGTTCTAACTGAGCCACGCGTCTCTCTGTGTTGCAGGACGCTGGCGCGAACTCCAGCTATGGCACCCAGGCGAGTCTCCCCCACGCAGGTATGGCCTCCGCCCCACTCCCTACCTACACCTCTACCTCTAGTGTAGCATTGTAGCGCTGCTCCAGCAGCGTGTCGCCCAAGAAGTGAGCTAGTTGAATTGTGTGTCTGCCCTGGCCTGGCCCAGCTATGTAGCGCTGGGCCTCACCGGTGTGCCCCTAGTCCTGGACTGAAACGGCCTACTCAGTCTGGGTTCCAACCGGACGTCCAGACCCTCCCTGCTGATGCAGCAGGGACGTGGGCTACTCGACGAACACAAACCTGGCCCACAAGGGCCTGCCTGCAAATGTAGACTGCAAGCCCAAAACTACGCCAAAACAGACAAAAGAAGGACAGCAAATAAATAAATAAATAAATGCTGCCTCATATCGAATCTCGTGGCCCAAAGGCCGACCGTGGGCTTCTAGGGCGCATTTCCGAGGGGAGTGCGGCCGGGAGCCCCCAGCAACCGTCGGGCGCAGGCTCAGCATGTAACAGCCGCCCTTGTGTGAACAGACTGCGCTTAGGGGACTGGCTGCAAGAGCTAAACAGACATCTAGTATCTACCTTAGCTAGCAAGCAGCGGATCATGGTTAAGGAATTCGTCAAGGACGTACCTTCTCCTATGGAGGAGGGCAAATAAAACATAGTGCTTCATTTCTGGTAAGCGGGAAGCTTCCTTTTGATATGATACTAGGGATGTACTACCTCGAGGTTCCCAAGCCCCAGTTTGACCGGGACTGGAAAACAATGAAGTATGAACTGCCTGAAGGAAGGACAAGCCTTAGAAAGTATAGGTCTGAGAAGTCAGCAGACTCTTATGGGTGTTTGTACACTCATGCGTTCTACAATTATTACAAACTGAAACGCGAGGAGGGTATGTATCTAGTCGTCATGCCTGAGAAGGGGCAGGCCGCCAAGACCCCGCCTGAGATAGAGAAAGTTGTCGCTAAGTATGCAGACGTTCAGGAGAAGCCCTCAGGTGTCATTCATAGGGAGGTCGTTCATAGAGACCCGGGTAGTAAGGCGCCTAGGGGTAGGATCTCTTGGATGTCCCCAGGTGAGCTAGATGAGCTTCGGCCACAATTGGAGTTGCATAGTGAGGAGGGGTGGATATGGTCGAGTATGTCTACCTATGGTGCACCGGTACTATTCGTTCCTAGGAAAGGGAGGATGTTGAGGATGTGCATTGATTGTAGGGGCCTCAATGCTATCACTCTGAAGAACGCAGAGCCCCTATCCCACATCGATGACCTTCTGGATGGAGTGGAGGGATGTAAATACTTCAGTAGGATAGATTTGAAGTCCTCGTACCATCAGCTACAAATTAGGCAAGAGGATCAGCACAAAAACACATTTCAAATTAGGTACGGTGTGTACGAGTTTGTGGTGATGCCCTTTCAGCTATGCAATGCACCTGATACATTTCAGCACTCAATGACCAGATCTTTCATGACTACTTGGACAAGTTTATCATCATGTACCTCAACAACGTACTCGTCTTCAGTAGGAGAGGAGCACATAAGGGCTATGCAACGCACCCGATACATTTCAGCACGCAATGAACCAGATCTTACATGACTACTTGGACATATTTATCGTGGTGTCCCTCGACGACATACTCGTCTTCGGTGGAAGTCTGGAAGAGCACCCGCAGCGCTTAGACATCGTGCTAGGCATTCACCATAAACACAAGTGTAAGATCAATCTGGAGAAATGTGACTGTGATTGCACTATGACTACTTGGACAAGTTTATCATTGTGTACCTCAACGACATACTCGTCTTCAGTGGGAGTCTGGAGGAGCACATAAGGGCTATGCAATGCACCCGATACATTTCAGCACGCAATGAACCAAATCTTACATAACTACTTGGACAAGTTTATCGTCGTGTCCCTCGACGACATACTCCTCTTCGGTAGAAGTGTGGAGGAGCAGACGCAGCGCTTAGACATCGTGCTAGGCATTCTCCAAAAACACAAGTGCAAGATCAATCTTGAGAAATGTGAATGCGATCGCACAAAAATCTTATACTTGGGTCATGAGATATCCCAGCATGGTTTGAGGCCCAAAGCTGCAAAGGTGGCCAGCATTAGGAACTGGCCACGACCTCGGTCTGTGACTGAGGTCAGATCGTTTGGGGATGGCGAGCTACTATCATCCGTTCATGAAGAATTAAAGCATGATCACGAGCCCCTTCACCGATCTCACATGCCATTGGAACAGACAGCTAACTGCAAGCGTGCTTTCAGGAGGTTGAAGTACACTTTGACTCATCATGAAGTCTTGAAAATCCCGGATCCTGACAAACCGTTCATTGTAACAACTGGCGTTAGCCAGTTTGGACAGGCGCAATTCTTCAGCAACAGGAGGGGAAAATGTTGAGGCCCGTCGAGTCCATGAGCAAGAAGATATCACCCGAAAAACTAGCCAAGTCCACCTACGAAAGAAATTATATGCCCTATACAAAGTTTTGACCCATTGGAAGCACTATCTTCATGGCGTATTCTTCAAAGTGAGATCTGACAACGAGACTCTCCAATGGATCAAAACGCAGCCCACTCTTTCTAACGCGTTGAAGAGATGGATTCAGGTCATTGATATGCATGACTTCTGCCTTCGGCATGTCAAGGGTGAGTTTAACAAGGTTGCTGATGCACTTTCACGGAGGGCCAATTAACTAGGTGTGCTATTTCTAGAATATAACTTATTTCACAATCTATCTCAACAATTGGGGGATACTTACGAGGAAGATAGATTTATGTATGAGATCCTTCGCAGACTCGAGGAGACAATTGGTGGATACCTACGAGGAAGATAGATTTATGTTTGAGATCCTTCACAGACTCGAGGCGAAGGATAACGGTACATCAGACGAGTTTGTGATGATCGACGACCTATTCTTTTTGAGAAGGCTGGGAATAAAAGGTTGTCTGTCCCGAGTAGCGAGTCCTTGCATAGTTTATTTTTAGGAGAGTGTCATGACACGACAGGTCACTTCGGTTAAGAAAATATGTCAGATAACTTACTCCAACGAGCCTACGATGCTGAAGTACATTGAGACTTGCCAGGTTTGTCAAAGAGACAAACCTAGGACTCAAGGTCCTCTAGGGCTTATCAAGCCTTTGCATTTCCTATTTTAGAGAGTTTGTCTGCAGACTTCATGGATACTCTCGTGACCACCCAATCTGGGAAGAGGCACATATTTGTAATTGCTGACCAGTTCTCCAAGTATGCTTGCTTGGTAGCGCTACCTAAGACTGCAAAGACGGACGTGGTAATCAAGATGTTTATGGAACACTGGGAAGGGATTTCGAACTGCCAAGTCTATGGTGAGTCAAAGAGATTTGAGGTTTACTAGTGAATTACTGAAGAAGACCAGCGAACAGATGGGTTCTTAGACACACATAGCTTCTGGAAACCATCCGGAGACTAAGAGGCAAGCCAAACAGATGAACTGGGTAGTAGAGTACTTGCTGAGGCACTACATCAAGCCCAACCAGGAAGTGTGCGATGAGAAGTTACCTCTCATTGCCAGCCTGTACAACAACGCAATGCACAGTACTACAGGGTGGTCACCCAATCAGCTTCATCTAGGATGGAAGCCTAGGAACCCGTTAGATGTTCTCCTACCTGATAGAAGACCGACTGCATCCCCGGGGAACATATAATTTGAAATAGAGTATGATGCTGCAGCAAACTGTTGAACAGATTCAGAAATCTCATAATTCCCCATGATAGCATCTGAGAACAAACGTAGAAGGGAATCTAAATTTCAGGTTGGGGAAGATGGGTAAAATCCTTAAATCGCGATGGCCCATCGTAGTATTTTGGGCCACGGCATGTCTTAGATTGTGATGGCCCATCGTACGTCATCCGTGTTCCACCTCACCTACATACCTACCCAGTCTTTCACGCCTCCAAACTCCTTCCTTTTAAAGAAACTGATGAGGTTCCTTCTAGCAGATCCATGCTGCCCCCAACCATGGATGGATACATGGACATCAATCAGATAGCGGGGCACAGACTTATGCCTGTTCGTACGCCAGTTCGCCAAAGAAGACCGCCGACACCAGAGATGCAGTTCTAGGTCGCTTTCAAGCATCATACGGATCCAAAAGAGCATTGGGCGTTCATCAGAGGGGAGCTGATGAAGACAACACCTCTAGTGGTACCTCATTATGAAAGAATGTTGAGAGAGAAACAGCAGAGGGGGAGGGAGTGCAAAGCATGAGGCCCTCGGCCTACTTTGGAAAGGGTGTGTGCCCGCCCTAAGAAAAGGTGGGCCCTGAGAAAATTCAACGAGGCCTTTCTAGCAGCCGGCGTGAGCAGAAGGGGGCATCGCCGGTTGGTTGCTGCACGCAGCATCTTCAACCAACCGGGCAGCATCTTCAACCAACCGGTAGGCCCGGTTGGTTGACGATGTTGGAGCCCAGAAGAGATGCTAAGGCCCAAGGCACTTACAGTTGAGCCCCTCAGGCACACTCCAGAAGGGCCCTGGGCACAGCTTCTAGGACAGAGGTCAAGCATCCAGATCCTAGCCTCGCCCCAGATAGAATGAGAGATAGTGAGGCTGACTCCTCAACATTCTGGTTGGTTGGTCAGCGCCAACACTGCTGGAGCACAGGCTTGCTGGACGAGTGTCAAGCCAGGAGGACAAAGGTTGTTGGCGTTGCACGAGGAAGAAGCTAAATGTGCGCAGCAAGAGGGCGCAACTGCCATAGCCAGGTGTTGTCCCCATAGCCGGAGGACGTTGAAAGAGGTCCTTGGGCAAGGGATTGAGAGAGAGTGGGAAGATGAGGAGTGGGTGATGCAAGAGGGCGCTTACCTGGTGGTGAGGAGCTAGCCGCTCATTATCAATTGACTCCAGTGCTTTGCTCTTGCTTATTTGGTGTATCTTGTGGTGCAATCTGCTTTTAGTTTGACAACAAAGTTGTATGGGTTTCTATCATGGCAACCGGCTGGACGTCTGGACTGGTATCCAGACAGACCGGCTGTCTGGGTCCGGGTCTGGGGTACGGTCCGATAGGTCCGGAATGGACCCGTTTCGCAGAAATTCAAAAAAAAAATTGGGGCTCCTAGGACGTTTCGGGGGTTCTAGGCTGCCCCCAAAAATTCTTTTCGGATTTTTTGGCCACTGGAAGGCCTACCGGACAGCGCCAGACTGGGTCGGATTCCCGACTCTGCCGAGCTCGGACAGGGGAAGGGAAAAACACGGATTCGAGTTTTCGAATCCGCTATCCCTCCCGCCGAAGCCATTTTGAATGAGCCGCGCTGCTGCCGACGTCTTTGTCGCCCGACGTCACTATCGTTGCCGAGGAGATCATCGCCAACCAAGGAGTTGCTGCCCGCCAAGGCTTCTTGCTGCCCACCAAGGGTTGTTGCTGCGGAGGAGGTCGTCGCCCGCTGCCAGGTCAGTCTCTCTCTCTCTCTCTCTCTCTCTCTCTCTCTCTCTCTCTCTCTCTCTCTCTCTC